TCAGACGGAACTATTCACAGAGTTTTATTATATTAAACTGAACTTCCAATTTTCACCACTGTTCTGCGCCTAGTAACCTTTCCTCTGATCACGGAGCAAATCCCGATGATGAGACATTTGTTCTTTCAATCAAAACCCCCCTCGTCCAAGGTGTCCTGCTTTTCCCAACTGAAAATATGGTCACCCTATTTAAGGGAACCATGCTGCAACTTTAGATATTTTAGAACCTAAAACAGTTTAGCATATCTATGACATGACAAAAAAAGGATGTTTTTCACCTGTGTCTAAAGTACAGAACTCCCACTTTATTACAGCTCAAAAAGTTGAACTGTTTGTCTGGTGGTCATTAGCTTGTGTCCTACATCAGGATGGTTATGAACCTGCAACATGCCCATTTTATAGATATTTTTATTTTAGAACTTACATTTTATTGATTTTAAAGCAGAGCAAATAAACAACATACAATGACAATTAACAGTTTTTTTCAGTGTGGAATTTTACCAAGGATTAACAGTCCCAGCATGACATTTTACGGTTTCAGCATCATAATTGTGGTCTCAGCTTCCCCATACAAATCTAGCACAAGAATTCACCTCTGATGCCAGGTATATGTAACATAATCTAAAAAAAATTAAATAAAAATTGAGTTGTGAGACTTGTTTACTACTCCGGCTTCCTCCCACAGTCCAAAAACATGACTGTTAGGTTGATTGGCTTCTCTAAATTCTCCTTAGGTGTGAGTGTGTGCGTGAATGGGTGTTTCTCCTGTTTGTCTCTGTGTTGCCCTGTGATGGACTGGCGACCTGTCCAGGGTGTACCCCGCCTCTCGCCCATTGACTGCTGGAGATAGGCACCAGCACCCCTTGCGACCCCACTCGGGACAAGCATGTAAAGAAAATGGATGGATGGATGGATATGTTATCTTTTCTATTTGGTATAATTCCCTTACAGTTTGGACCCATGAGCTGTAGGAAGACGGCTCTGGTTGCTTCCTCTTAATTGTGATGCATTTCAGGGGGAAACAATTTGGGGCAGGACCAGAACTTGTGTGTATGATTGGGAATTGCAGAGCCACAGTTTCTCCAAGACAAACTTGGAACTTTAGGATTCATCTTAGCCACTATGTCTGGCGTCCTGAAATATCTGCTTATAATTTTCCATTTATATTCCCGCCATGTATTTGAACTTGTAACTCAATGTGCCTCATTCCAGACTTCTTCCCACATATGATCAAAAATACTTTTGGCTGTCTCTGCCTACCATCTTTGTTCTGTCCAAGTGGGTCCATTAATGTTCATGGACAAAAACACATTATATAATTTTTTGTTCAGCCCCTTATCTCCTTCACCATGTTGGAGTTGAATTAGTAATTGCTCTATTAGCATGGTGTTTAGGACTCTTTCCCAGTCCCTGTGTGTTAACAACAAGCAACGCAACTGTAGGTATCAGAAATGATTTATTTTTTGGAGCTTAAAATGCCCTTGCAATTCTTCCAATGACATGAGATAATTCCTGTTAATTAACTGATGTAGAAACGTGAGCCCCTGTTCAGACCATTTTTGAAAAATCTTTGTCCAAAGAATTAGGGGTGAAGGATTTGATATGTCCAATGCTTGTTAGTAGTGATAAAGCTCTTGGTGGCTTAAAAGCAGTTCTGGCTTTGTATTTAATGGTAAGTGTGGCTCTAGTCCACAGTGACAGTTCCTTTATTGGAATATATAAAAATGGCAATACCTTTAACGGTACAGAGCACTTCACTTGTTCAATGCTCAGCCATCTCGTGTGAGAATCCTCTTGAATCCATGAAATTATGGGCTTTAACTGTGCTGCCCTGAAACAGTATTTTAGGACCGGAAGGTTAAGACCTCCTTCTGCCTTGTTTCTCTGTAATGTTTCATATTTTATGCGGGGGAGCTTGTTCTGCCATATGAACTTTGACATCATTTTGTCCAAATCAACAAAAGTGGATTTTGGTATTCCAACAGGTAACATCTGGAACAAATAGAATATCTGGGTAAGAGATTCATACGAATGGTTTGAATGCGACCTGAGAGGGACAAAGGCAACACTGACCACCGCTCTAGGTCTTTCTTGATTGTATCCAGCGTTTTACTGTAGTTAGTACGGAATAAATCATTTAATGAGAGGGGAATATTGATGCCTAAGTATTTGATGCCCTCTTTAGTTCACCTAAAGCCACTTTGTTGTTTTACCCCCAGTGGTATATTGCTATTAACATCCAATGCCTCTGTCTTCTCAACATTTATTGTAAAGCCAGAAAAATACCCATATACAGAAATAATTTACTTCAAGCATAGTATCAATAACGTAGGATCAGAGATATAGCAAAACATCATCTGCCATTAAGTCTAACAGCCGCTTGTGGAGATGAGTGTAATGTATGTATCCAATCTATAAACTTAGGTTCAAATTTAAACCTCTTTAACGATTAAATAAAATATTTCCATGACACACGATCAAAGGCTTATTTGGGCATATTACAGCCGCCATCGCTTTAAATTCTTTTTGATCAGCTATGATATTTAATAATCGGCGTACTTTATTTCCATAATTTCTCCCAGTGATAAACCCAGTTTGATCGGGATGTACCTCTTTGAGTTATTATGCCATTTAATTGTCTAGCCAGTATGCTTGTTAGGATACGCATGTCTCCATTAAGCATTGATAACGGCCTATATGATCCACAGTCTGCGGGGTCTTTTCCTTCTTTGTGCAAATTGATAATTACTGCATCAGACCAGGAGGGCGCCATTTTCTTAGCTTCTAGGTAATGGAAATATGCTTCCAGTAAAAGAGGGGTACAATATCTATGAAATATTTAGAGAATTCACTCATAAAACCATCCGGGCCAGGACACTTATTATTTTTGAGGGATAAAATAACTTTTCTAATTTCTCCTCACGAATTGGCCCATCTAATTGTTTAACTATTGTTTTAGGTAATTCAGAAACATTCATATTTTGCAGATAATTTACAATTTCATCTTCATCTCTACAGGTGTCTGTGTCTCTGTATAGGACTATGTAAAATTCTGCAAATTCCTTGGCTATTACTTTTGGTTTATGAACTGATTTATTAGCCAATTTTAGCTTTTGAACCACATTTGACAACTGCTGTTTTTTAATTCGGAAGGCCAGGAGTCTTCCCGCTCTGTTTCCTTTTCATAATACTGCTGTTTGGCAAAGCAGGGTTGCCCACGATCTTTTCTGATAGTAGATCTTGAAGGTCTCTGCGAGTTTTTCATTCAGGATAGTTCCAGATCTTTATTTTTGTCCTCTAAGTCTTTCTGTTTAGCTGCTTTTTGTCTTTTTTTGTGTGTGAAATAGGCCTTAGCACGACCCCACAGCATAATAGGAGGTGTTTCAGGAGTGTTATTGATTTTCTAGATAATTCTTAAAATTATCTAGACTGTAAGTGTTTAAGAAGAGAGACGTTAAATCTCCACTGCTTAAAAGATGACTTCAAACCTATATTCCACTGGAGCACAACAGGTGCATGATCAGAGATAATGATGGGCAGATTGTGATATCTTCAGTTCTGTGTAGCTTGGCTTTGGCTATATAAAAAAATATATATATATTCGCAAATAAGATGCATCCCGGCTTGAATAAAATGTAAAATTTCTCTCCTTTCTGAATTTGGATTGCCACACATCCAGCAATCCAGTTTCCGCCAATAGATTTTTGAGCATTTTACCCATCTTTGGTATAGGGGTCTGAGAAGCAGATTGTCTATTAGACATTACTCAATTAAAATAGCCCCCCTTAATTAGGAGGCCAGAGCTGTATTCTGTTAAAACCTGACTTAATAAACCCTGGTGCATCTTCATCGGGAGCATATATCTGCAAACTGTATAAATGTTTAAATTGTCTTAGGAGTAATTATTCAGAAATGCATTTATTTTCAATTTTAGTAGCTGTCTATGAAATGGAGAGCAAAACATGCAGCTCTAACACCCTGTTTGTACCACTATTGTAAGACAGGAAGTGAACTTGACAAAAGCCTTTCTGACATGTTTTTAACTCTTCCTACAGTCTTAAATGCCGGCACCATAGCAAGGATATCAGTAGCAGCATCTGTTACAGCGGGTTTACTTTTCTTTGGGCTGTTCAAATGTTGTAAGTATCTGTTAATTTATTATCAACATATTTAATCATTGTCTTTGAGATATGTGTTTATTCTGTTTTTTCAAGCTTATTAGATAGGCAGGTGGCGGGTGAGCGAGGTCAGAGCGGTGTGGCTGGTGTTTGGTAAGATCAGCATACCCAGACAGACCCATATACCAATAGCCACATACCACATGTGGCAAATCTGCGTAAGACGTCAGATTTGCAGGAGTCTAACCCTATAAGTGGAAGGAAGTCTACCAGGCTATGCTGGTGAAGATTCATTGTCATCCAAGTCATAGTCATTGCAAAAAAAATTTAAAAATGTTTTCTAAGCCAAGACAAGTTTTGGGCTACTATCTAAAGCGTCAAGGTCAATACTAATTCTTACAAAGGTTCCTGGATGAGAAGTGAAACATCATTAAACTTGGAAACCATGTTCAGTGGATTGATTTTTACCTTTTGTGGGTTTCTACTAGGCTACTTTATTTATGTGTGATATGGTAAACAAAAAGTTGTAGTTGAAGGTAAACACACAAACTTACAAGAAAAGCAAACACAAAGTTTTAGTCTGAAGTAAACAGAATTTAAAGCTACAGAGACAGCCTCACTTTCTGAGTTCGCTACTTCACACCCTGACGTAGCAGCTAACCTGTCCGATTGTCATACTGATCTGCAAATGTAACAGTTGCAGATCAGTACGACAAACAGTTGTTTAAATGTACCATTGTGCATGGGCATACATGCCTATCACTATGGGTATGCTGGTCTGACGGGGTATGCTGATCTAAAAAAAATACCGACTGTCAGCTGAAAGAATCTGGGAGAGGTCCGCTAGAGGAGCTGCAGAACAGGATTCGAGCTGAGACGACAAGGGAGCTTGGCTTGAGAACCATTGGTTTCGAAGAGGCGCTCTAGACCATGATCCAGTGTGTAAAGCAACCTGAGACAGGGGAGACAGCATTAGTGTGACTAGAAAGAGCTGTCAAAAGACAGTGGCCAACTGAGGCATACTACAAAAGGTTAAAACTCTCCCACTCACAGTCTTCAGCTTCAATGCTCCCCTGTCACAGCGTTGAATGAGCCACAGCAGTGCGCCACGCCCCCCTGCCGAACAACCACCTGTGGGAGAAACGGAGAGGAGGCCTGACTGCCGCTGCCTGCTGAGTCCTGACAATCATACAGTGAAACTGATTCAAAGTTTTTTATCTAAGGAAAACCAGTTGATTGCATCGACTCATTGACTCGAGGGCAATCCCTCACACTTAGCATGCTTTTAGTGACAGTGGAGAGGAAAAACTCCCTTTTAACAGGAAGGAACCTCCAGTAGAACCAGGCTCAGTGTGAGCAGCCATCTACCGAGGCCGACTGGGGTTTGAAGGAAACAGAAGCAGAGATACAAAAATAAGCAGAGATACAAAAGGCAACTGTAAACCAGCTCTACATGCAGCCCTGTGCAGAAAACACCCATCCAGGCAGTGAGCTCCGTGCCAGCTCACTGGCAATGAAGAGAGCACATCCTGCCAGTCACAGTTCAGGAAACAGGACTACACTGAAAAATAGGCAGTGCTCAAACATCTATCGACAAAGGTGTTGAAATAAATAATAAGCATCTCTGAACAAGAAAGAATTTTAACCCTCTGCCAATCAATTTGGGGATTGTAAGCCAGGTGACTCCCAAAATGAGAGGAACCTTTGCCGACTGAATTATCATAAATTCAATTTTCTCACTGGGATTACCCCAATAGTCAGGCTAAATTTCTCAATGCCAGTTACAAAACTTTTTACATGTGAGTTTTTTTGGTTCTAAAAAATGTGTTTACACCCATGGTTATCAAGTAAGAAAACTCACCCCAGACTTTTGCTTTGCAAATGCTGTGGTATCCATCTATTTCACATATTCTTGTTAGCAAGATTAATTTAAAAATGTAGGATGCAGATCTGGTCCAGAGTGAAATTAGTCATGTTGTTTAAGTCACTGTCTTGTTGAAGACATTTTCTGACTGTTTCCACTGCCTCTGATATAGGTATGTATGTGAAAAGAGAAGTTACATCAAAAGACACCAGGGTTTCTCCTGACGCCATCTTTAAATTTGACTTTGTTAGCAAAGTCTTTGAAGTTTTCTATGTGATGTGGTGTGTTTCCCAATATATTCCAAATAAGCATGGAGTATCCTGCCCTGGATATAATCTAAAAAATAAAATGATTGGTTAATTACCTTGTCTGTTTCTAGTTGTTTGTGTCATGATTTTATCAAGAGGTCGAGACCACATGCAGATAAATCAGTCCAAAGAGACAAGGGAAAAAGTTTAACAGGTTTATTGAGAAGTTTTGTGGAGATTCCAGTGTTGCTCTGAACACTGCTCAACCGGAACTGAAAGGTGAGGGGAAGACACTGTGGTTAGTTCAGGTTCAGTGGGAGAATAGATTCTCGAAACTTGAAGAGGAGAAAAGGTTGGCAGACTCACATTTCCAGATATTAGGTTGACTCTTAGACTCCAGTAGGTGAGGAATGTGTTCCGGAGTTTGTCTTATACGGTGGAGGGCGGACAGGGTTACCCAGAATGTGGTTGCTTGTAGATGAACGGAGAAAGACTGACTGTCACTTAGATTTCCTGCGGTACTTCAACAGACTGTTGTGCAGATGAATCCCTTGCTCAGTGTGAAGCTCAAACGTTTCCTCGGGGAAAAGTGGATCCAAACCTCCGGTTTGTTTCCTCAGCTCAGTGTTGTGATTCTATAGTTAAATTCTATTCCCAGCCCGCTGGGAATTTATGTTTCTGATACTTTAAGATGTTTATTGCCCTCCCCTGTAGGGGTGGTAA